GACCATGCAACCTAAAACAGTCCCTACTTGGGCACTATCACATCTTCTTGTTTTATTTATTTTTTAAAGTTTTTCCTCCTGGGGTGCCTGAGTGGCGCAGTCGTTTAAGCGTCTGCCTTCAGCTCAGATCATGATGCCAGGGTCTTGGGATGGAGCCTCACATCTCCTGCTCAGCAGAGAGCCTGCTTCTCCCTCTCCCTCTGCTGTTCCCCCTACTTGTGTGCGTGCTCTGTCAAATAAATTTAAAAAAGCTTTAAAAAGAAGTTTTTCCTCCTGATGTGTTTTCCTGCTTATGAGGTGTCTTTTTTTTTTTTTCTTTTTTTGAGTTGTCTGTCTTCTCCTCACTATATCTGAGCAAGGATCTTGAGTGCAGGACCCCTTGTCTTTCAGTCACGGCAAAGTACCCAGCACCCAGAACACCGCTTGGAACAAAGCAGGGACCTACGTGAAAGAATGAATTCCCAGTTCCATGCTCACATCTCCATGAGTCACCAAGATGTCCTTCCACATGTTTGGAGGCTCAAGCACATAATGCCAACAGCCTTAAGAACTCTGGAGTTGCCACATTCCAGGATGGCAAAATCGGAAAAATCCTGATCGCTCTACCACCAATTAATTTTTCCAAACTTCAACTGTATTCATTTCCTACTGCTGTTACAACAAATTACTTCAAACTAAGAGGCTTAAAACAGCACAAACTTCTTATCTTATAGTTCTGGAGGTTAGAGGTCTGAAGCAACCTTCATCGTGCTAAAATAAAGACACCAGGAGTGCCTGAGTGGCTCAAGATGCCTGTGTGTCTGCCTTCAGCTCTGGTCGTGATCTCCAGGTCCTCAGATTAAGCATGGAGTCTGCTTCTCCCTCTCCCTCTGCCTGCCTCTCCCTCTGCTTGTACTCACTCGGTCTCTCTCTCAAGTGAATACATAAAATCGTAAAAACAAAACAAAACAAAAAAGCAATACAATACAATAAAGAGGTCCACAGGGCTGGGTTCACTGAGGAGGCTCTAAGGAAAAACTATTCCCTTGTTTTTTCCAGTTTCCAGAGGCTGCACTCCGTGGCTCTGGCCCTTTCCTCCTCCTTCAAATCCAGCAGTGTAGCATCTACAGATCTCTCGGACTCATGACTCTCCTCTCTCTAAGGACTCTTGTGATTACACCGGGCTACCTGGATAATTCAGGAGAAGCTCGCATCTCAGGGCTCTTAACGTCATCAAATCTGTGAAGTCCCTTTTGCCAAGTAAAATAAATAGTCACAGGTTCTGGGGATTAAGTAATGGATGCATTTGGGAAACATTTATGCTGCCAGACAAGGACATCAAAAGGAAACTAGACTGTATCTTTTTTTTTTTTTAAGATTTTATTTATTTGAGACAACGCCCATACACAAGTAGGGGAGAGGGGCAAAGGGAGAGGGTGAAGCAGACTCCCCACCAAGCAGGGAGCCTGGTGCCAGGCTTGATCCCAGACCCCTGAGACCATAACCTGAGCTAAGGGCAGACATTTAACTCAATGAGCCACCCAAGGTGCCCCTGTATCTTTTTTTTTTTTTTTTTAAGATTTTACTTATTTATTTGACACAGAGAGAGAGAGCACACAAGCAGGGGAAGCAGCAGGCAGAGGGAGAAGCAGACTCCCTGCTGAGCAGGGAGCCTGATGTGGGGCTCAATTCCAGGACACTGGGATCATGACCTGAGCTGAAGGCAGATGCTTAACAGACTGAGCCACCCAGCCTTCCCCAGACTTATCTTTTATGTACAGACACAAAATTTCTCAACTAGCAAACCAAATCCACTGACATATGAGAAGGACTATACACTGTGACAAAACAGGATTTGCCCCAGGAATGCAAGATTGGTTTAATATTCAAAACCAATCCATCTAATATACTACACTAATGAAAGGAAAGGAAAAAAACCCCACATGATCATCTCACAAACACACACACAAAAATCTGACAATATCCAATGCTTTTTCACGATAAAAATACTCAAACTAGGAATAGAGGGAAACTTTTTCAGCCTGATAAAGTTATCAATGAAAACCTCACAGCTAACATTATCATACCTAATCTTAACGGTGAAAGACTGAATACTTTATCTTTAAGATGAGAAACAAGGCCAGGATGGCTGCTCTCACCAATTCTACTCAACACTATGCTGAAGTTCTACTCAGGACAATCAGGCAAGAAAAATAAAAGGCATTATTCAGAATAAAAAGCAAGAAAGCTATCTGTATTTTCAGAGTACATGATTGTATACAGAAAAATCTAAAGGATACACTAAAAAATTATTAACCAATAAACAAGTTCAGCGAGACTGTAGGTTATAATATCAATATACAAAAATCAACTACATTTCTATACACTAGCAATGAACAATCTGAAAATGAAATTAAGAAAACAATGTAATTTGCAAAAGCATCAAAAAGAATTACACTACTTAGAAATAAATTTCACAAAAGTACAAGGTTTGTACACTGAAAACTACAAATCATTCTTAAAAGAAATTTTAAGATGACCTAAAGGAAAGGAAAAGAATTAACAGTCCAGAAGTAATTCTTTACATTTATGATAGATTTTCAACAAGTATGCCCAAGAAAATTCAATGTGGAAAAAACAGTCTTTTCAACAAATGGTGTGGGACAGCTAGATAGATGTCCACATGTGAAAAATGAAGCTGGATCCCTCCCTTACAGCATACAAAAAAATGTCCTCTGGAACCATACACTTCAGTGTAAGGGCTTAAATTATAAACTCCTAGAGGAAATCGTACAGGTTAATTTTTTGTGACCTTGAGTTAGGCAAAGCCTTCGTAGGTAGATATGATACCAGAAGTATAGGCAGTAAAGGAAGTAACAGGCAAACTTGACATCATCAAAATTAAAAACTTTTGTGCTTCAAAGAGTACAATCAATAAAATGGTATGATAACCTTATAATGGGAGAAAGCCATGTATCTGATAAGGAACTTGAATCCAGGATACACAAAGAACACTTAAGGCTAAACAATTAAAAAAAAAAATTAAAAATAAGCAAGGCACCTGAATAGACATTTCTTCAAAGACACATAAATGGCCAAAACCACCTTAAAATGCTCACGATCATTAGCCATTAGGGAAATGCAAGACAAAACCACAAAGACTTATCATTTCATACCCACTAGGATGGCAACAATCCAAAAGTCAGATAAGAGCCAGCGCTGGCAAGAGTGTGGAGAAACTGTGACCCTCAGTACTGGCGGTGAGGACGTATAACACAGCAGCCGCTGCGGACACGGCACAGCAACTCTTCAAAATGTTAAACAGAGAGTCTTCACTGTAAGCAAGCAACTGTGCTCTTAAATCCATACCTGAGAAAAATGGAAACATAAGCCTACCAGCAACTGCTGCTCACAGCAGCATTAGTCATAACAGTCAAGAAGTGAAAACAGGCCAAATGCCCCTCAACTGCTGAATGGAGAAATACAATGTGGCGCAGCCATACAACGGAGTATTATCCATCAATAAAAAGGAACACAGTACTGATACTTGCTCGGACATGTACCTATTAAATACACTCTCCTATGTGAAAGAAGCCAGTCACAAAAGGCCACATGATGTATGATTCCATTTACATGAAATTTCCACCATGCGTAACTCCATAAAGACAGAAAGTAGACCAATGGTTGCCAGGGGCTCGGAAAAGACAGGGAATGGTGAGTACTACTAAAAGGTATGGCTTTTCTTTCCGGGATGATGAAAATCTTAAGTTAGATGATGGTTATGATTACACAACTGTGAGTATACTAAAAACCACTGAATCGTAGACTTTAAATGTGTGAGTTTTAAAATGGTATGTGAACTGTATCTCAATAAAAGCTGTTTTTAAAAGTTCAAGGTATTCAGATCATGAGCAAACCCACTGTCATACAGAATAAATGTTCTCCAAGTAATCTGGAAAGAAAATAAATACATAAAATACCTTATAAGAATGCATATATTTTCCTTTATAGGTTATATTTAACATAAAAAGCATCTGTGCGAAAGAGTGACCACAAGAATGTCCTAGGCTAGAAAGGTGTAACAGGACTGTCACGAATGTGGCACGGTTTAAAATAAATAAATGCGTAAAATGCACAGATTCTAAAACCCCACCAAAGGCTCCTCAGTGGTCCCCACACCTTTTGCCTTCATCGCTGACCTTCAATTCCCTTTTCAGACTCATCTCTCATTACTCCTCAACACAAATGTGCAGCTGGGCCAGACTTTGCACTGCCCGCCCTCCCACCACACGCCGAATACCATGCTCACTGCCCCTCATCCCTCTGCCAGCCGCCTTAGGTCTTGACCAAATGCTTCTTCATCTTTAAGGTCCTGTCCCATCCTGTCCCATTTCCTCACTCTCTCCAGACCGTACCACTCCCATATCCACGGGCCTCTGGCAGCTCCAACTATTCACACCCCTAAAGGGACCCCTCACCACTTTTCACCACCCTCGTGCAGCTAATGCACGCTCCATTAAAAAAAAAAAAAAAAGAGTCACCTACACTTTGCCTTTTCCAACCCTGATTCATTGATGTATCCACTTCACCTGACAGTTCCCTCACTTGCGGGAGATGATGAATCCACTCTCGCCAACGACAGAGTGCCACCTAGCTGCGACGCAGGGTAACGCAACGCCAGTAGGAAGATACCCACAGGACTTAAGAAACGTGCTGGCGGTGAAATTCAGAAGCCAGCCCAGCATCACTCTGCAGGCAGGGCCATGCCACCGTTTGGAGGTGCCTCCTACCACCTACCCAGTGGTACCTCACACACCTCACAGCTACCCTCTGTTCTCAGCTCGGTGCCAGGCATGCAGGACTCATTTAACATTTACCCAAACTCAAATTCTGAAGTACAGTACTTGTGCAGATGTTAAAAATTCCTGTGATAATCACAGGAGACCATTTTTGAGTTTTCTCATAACAAGTAAAAAGCATAGATGAGTACAAAATGACAAGAAATCTCGCGATTTACTCACATATAATGGAGCTTGCTGTGGATTAAGTTTCATGACCCAGGACACTGAAACAGAAAAGGGAGAAATAAATGAGAACAAAATTAAAAGCTATCGCCAAAAAACAGAAAAGCCACAAATGCTAGATGTCGAGTATGGTTATATGAACACAATCAAAATCTGAGATTACTGGATGCCTGGCTTTCCTGAGATGTTTGGGAAGGCCAGAAGGTCAAGGACTGCGAAACTTCTTGGAGCCCTTCTGTTCAAGCTTTTCAACTGGGGAGAGCCTTTCTGATTGAAACACACACACAAAAGGGTCCACTGTCCTCGGAGAATTTTCAACAACCAACAGGATATTAAACGCAGTTACCAAAGCAAAAACAGTGTATGTTCAGTTATACTTTTACATAATCCCCCAAATTCACAAAGTGCTGCTTGGCCAGAGCCTCCTCCAGCCTCACGGCGGGGGAGGGGGGGGCCTCAGGGGACCAGAGCGCTCTCTTCCTCTCAGCCCTCCGAGAAGGGAGAATATGGCGGCTGGGGTCCACCAACTAACCGTTGTAATCCTCCTCAAGATTAATAAACCGGGTTCCCGACTGTTATCTTGTGAATTCTCACAAAAATCTTAGGAAGAACGTCAGAGAAGAGTCACAGGATTGTCTAACAGATTCCTGAATATCAAGAACAGCATGCTTTCAAATGTTTAACTTGGTGATTTGACCAGGAGCTCCAAGCTAAAACATCATGGTCCAGAATCGTGGACTTCAGGATGGCAGGCCCTTTGCCAAACACCCCGAATTTGAGTATAAGCTGATCCTGTCCTCATAGGAGTCAGAGAAGCAGATCTAAGGGACTTGATTATAATTTGATCTAAGGAAGTTTTTTACTAATAGGTCAAATGAATTAAGGCACACAGTAACTAACCAGTAATATAAACAACAGTACAGAAATGTCATTCGCACATGCAAAAAAACAGATGAAATCACATTCTTTGTGTTCTCCCAGATTACAAAAACCTCAGTAACAGTGAACTGAAATCCAAATAGCACAAACAGCAGCGTATTAATGCCTGAATATTTAGAATAAAGAGCAGCAAATGCCTTAGCAACCATGTGTAACCTAAGGAACAGAATCCTCCCAATACTGAAATCCTCCCAGACCTGCCACTTTGGTCAGGCCGTGTATGTGTATGTCCAAGGTCAAGGCTCACCCAAAACGCAGTTAACACACACTTAGGGGGAAAAAACCAAAAACCAAAACTATAATCAGGCTCCTAAACCCAGTCATCTCCAAACCACTCACAGGCCACACGCTTCTCAGCGTGTTTCGCCAACAGCCCGAGAGCTCCGCCACCGTGACCGACCACCTCCACGTGTGCGCCTGTTCATTCTCTGGTCCACTCCCCACGCTGCAGGACACCTCCTGGCTCCTGGCACTCTTTTCTTCCTGCCTGTCTTCATTTAATGATTTTGTACCCTTGGGTGCTAAAGTCACCTGCAAAAATCCACAGTGAAAACCAAGCTTGAGAAATGCGGTAATAACGAATTCTTTTCATAGAAAAAGAAGAGATTTCCAGCCCATCAAATGCAAATAGGAAGCATGGATGGAGAAGAAAGACCGAAGCGCTTGAGTACTTTTCTCAACGCGTTAAATATCCATTTAATTTACAATTAAGCTCACTGCACTCACTAGCCTTTTAATCAGCTTTCCCGGTCTTGTCCAAACTTGCCCGGGACAAAGGACTGAAAGAACCTGTAACTTTATAAACCAATTCGCCTTCACTAACTTCTGAAGTTGAAGTGTTGTTCCTCTCAAGAAGTATCTGTGGGTACAGTTTTCAGTGATAAGTTCCATGGAGAAAAATGAAAGAGAAGAGGAAACAGGAAATGTTTCACATATGGTACTAAGGGAAGGCCTCTCTGAGGTGACGTTTATCCCCCAAAATCAAAGAGAATAAGGAAGGTGGAAAGGGTTCCAGACTCCCAAAACGGCCCCAAAACACAGAACTCGAGAGTTCTGATGCTAAGCCATCACTAGACTTGCTACATATAGCGCACAACTTACTTCACCCATTTAAGTAAGCGCACTTTACCTGAGAACTGTGTTCTAAGGGAAGAAGCATATTGCAGGAGGGGAGTCTTTGAGTCAGAGTAAACACACTTGAAAACGAAATTTACTCTCTAAGACCCAACTGAAAGTCTTTGCTTTGTCCATGGATTTTTGATCAATCCTTCCCAAAAGGAAAATGAAAGAAATGCACTGGGTCCCTGAATGATTTCATCAAGGAATTTTAAGAGAGAAAAACCCTACAATTTCCTTCCTACCCAGGAACTGGCGAATGACTTTGACAAAGTCCACATTTACATGGGGTGCTTTCATGTAACACAAGGACAACGCGTGACAGACCCGGTGGGACTGTAAAGGCCGCACCCCATTTGAAAGATGGTGAAATGGAAATATCAAAATTCAAACACTTAAATGATGCGATTTCAAGTATATTCACCAAATCTGCCATTCAGCAGTAGCCAGCTAGAATTCTGACAAGTCATAAATCTGCGGGGTGAGGAATAAAAACAAGCTCAGTAATTAAGTGTTTTCATTCTTATTTTCATTCTTCTCGCACTTGCCATTTTATTGCAAAATGCTGAAGGAAAACAAATGGAATGGTCTACTGTTGTACGAAAGTAACACATTCATTTTATGTCAAAGCAGGACCCCTCCACCCCGAAAGCAACGGTCTCACTGATGTCAGTCCAGTTCTCTGCAATTCTCTGGCAGCTCGCAGGGTGCTGCTCAACAGACAAGCAGACGCGGGGTGAGCCCTCTTCCTGCCCTTGAGAACAAACGCTCATCAGCTAGCTTCTCCCTCACAGGGTGCCGGGTGCACACCACCATCAGCACAGGTCAGTCTGGGACATGCAGTGCTGACACAGGTTCCGGCAAGAGTTCCGGATCCGTCTGCAGGTCACGCTACCTGCAAAGGATTGTGCAGAAACTCAGTTGCTCCTAAGGATCACAGGGAAGCTCAGGCACGAAGGGATACAGGCGTTTGGTTGGTTCGGGGCGGGGTGGGTAAGGGACAGTGAGCACTTCCACCGACCCGTGTGCCTGAGCGAATGAATGCAAAACCACAGAAGTTACCAAAACACGACATGCCTTCATAATAACCAGTGTCCACGGCAGGCGCTGGCAAACATTTTCTGAAAAGGGGTAGATGGTAAATATTTTGGGCTTTGCAGGTCATACGCTCTCTGGCGCAATGTGTAAATGAGTGGGTACGGCCATGTTCCAATAAAATTCTTTTTACAAAAAGGAGGCAGTGGACTAGATTCAGTCACTGTCCCCGAGTGCCAACTCCTGACCGAAAGCTAACAAAATACCTCTAAATAAGCCAAAGAAGCAGGGTGTCCCCATTCAACAGCTCTGTAGGTCTCAAAGATATTTCCAGTTAGAAAAGACTTCTCAGCACAGGAAAGTCCTAGCGTTCTATACAATATCCTTTAGCCCAGCAATCAAATTTCATGGGCGGGCATCCCAAGTTCCCTAGTGATTAACTGTATGACCTTGAGCAAGTAAGTCAGCGGACTGTCTACCCGCAGTCTTTTTAAGTGAAGTAAGAGCGTAAAAATTCCCGTCTACACTATGGAGCCAGTGGAAGAATTAAAAGGGAATCCAAGGAAGGGCTTCAGCACGCTGCCAGACACAAATCTTCCTTGCAGTTTGCAGGTCTCATGGAGACTAGCAAGGAAAGTAATTGGAAAAGGGTAAGTAGTCAAAATAGAAGACGTCAGATATCAAGAGATACATTTGTCCAGAAACAGGCTGGTAGGTAAATCACAATTCTAAAATATAACAAAATAACTCTAGAAAAAAGAATCTGGAAGAACAAATAACAAAATGCTAAGTATACATATTTCTGAGAATTACAGGGAATTTTCATTCTTAAATTATCTGTTTCTTACTCCTAACTATTCAGACAATGAACAGATACTACTTTTGTCATCAGGAAGAAGACATTAAACACAGTACATCTGTTTTAAGTCCCCAGTCATTCAATGCGCCACAAGTGAACTGGAAATAAAAAGACATTTTTCTAAAATGTGCAAACTGAAGAAATCGACCACCTTTACTAAAGCTCCCTAGAAATGATAAAAGAAAAGCAATTAAAATAAGAATGCCTGTACCCATATGTATGTAAATACAAATCAGTCTTACTATTCTTTAGCCATACCCCTATATTATACTAAAGAAGCCTTTAAGAGGTGCTCAGCTCTTAATGAAACATCCCTGGAGGGAGGGAGGGAGGAACACAAGCCCAACATTGCATCAATTACGCGGAGACCTGGAAACTCCCCGAAATCTGTTAGCTTCTTGACCTCAAGCCATTTCCTAAGTAAGGCCCAGCTGGCCAGGTCTGCTGAACCCATCACTTCAACGGACATGGTTTTTGTCATTCTCAACAGGGAAGCTTCCAAATTCAGAAGGAAAGAAGTGCAAACCACCCTCACAACCAAGCCCGGTGGTGAAAGGAAGAGAGGACAGCTGCTCGGGACTGAGCCAGGGGTAAACAGAGGATCTGTACCTGGAGGGAACGGGCACTGCTGAATATGCTTCAGCTCCATCTCCATGGCCAAGGGACCCTGCTAAAGCTGGGCTACCGCAAGTCCTCTGAAACCCACAAAAATTGGGGGTGAGGGTTAACATGGAAAGGACAAGGCATACTCTGGATTCCTGTGAAACAGCGTCCTGCTCTTCAAGGAAAATAACAGGATCCAAAGACTCTTTCCTTCCTTCCCAAGGAGTCTGGGCTGGTGGCTAGAAACATGTGCTCTCACTGGGGGTGGGAGCAGGGAATTCTGAACAGCAGCGAAGAAGCAGGGTACAAAGAGAGAATAGGAGTTTCCTGCTGCAGATGCCAAGTTCTACAAAATATATGTATATAAAGTACTACAGGTACCAAATGCGTTTCCTGAATAAAGGGCTGAGGAAATCTTACGGGAGCCCAATCGTCATCTTCTGTTTAAAGTTGCATTACTTAATAATTGAGCAGTTAGCTTTAAACACG